TTTGAATTTTGGATAGACCTTTTTGGTTAAAATGGTCTAGTTGGTTAAATTTTCATATCTTGTTGAAATTATACTAACTTTGATTAATGTTAATAGCCTCATTTAATCTTATGAAATTAAGTAAGATGATTTAAGTGGATATAATTATTTAGTTATGAGAATTATGCCACTTAATTATTTGAAATATTCTACGATCAATTTAGATGAAAAGGTGCGTCCTTTCATATGAATAATCATGACTTTTGGTATGATTATTTTTCAATGGGTGTGTCTCTTCATAGAGATTAATTCAAGAGGTGTGTCATTTTGTACGGTTATGTCTCTTGAAGAACACAACTTTTCAATCTATGATTGATTCGTTCGTTCAAGTTTGAATATGACGAATAAGGTGAATATGTACCTTATTATTTGACATAAAATGAAACTATCATGTGAAATGTCACAAATGTGATAAGTTGCATGTGTTTGAAGAAGTTGTAATGCTTAGTCCTCTTTATTGTTGAATTTGACTTCAATTATAAAATCAATTAAGTTGGTATATGTTTTGAAAGCATTGCAGGTCTATATGATGGCTTTAATTTAATTTGAATAATCAAATTAAAATAATTGGATTGAAGTAAGTTATATGCAACTTTAATTGAAATAAATTGTGAGTCAACGACCACTACTTTGTAAGTACACAGACTTTTAAGAAGCACTCAATACAAATATTATCTAAGAGAAAAAAAAAAGAATAGAACTATAAAAGAGTTGCTGAATTCTAAGTTCAAGTATAATCCAAGAATGTGGGGGGGGGGGGGTTAAACTTAATGCTTGTGAACTTGAAATAAAAAGTTCAAAACTTGTGGATGTAACATTATTAGAATGCATATATATTCCTAATTGAGGAATTGTGGGGGTAACTCAGTTTAACAGTTATGTTTGCTTATATTTTATAATTACAGAACGATATCTATGAAGGTAGAAAGATAGAAAACCCTTATACTAATTATAAGGATGATATATACTAAGTGTAAAGCTGATGAAATGTGTTGCAAAGCTGATTATGGCGTTTGGTTAGACATGCAAGAACAATTAGAATATATGAAGAATATTCATATAGTTCAAATGCATGGTAATGTTTCAATGATGATATTGAATACCCATGATTCTAAAATCCACTAGTAAAAGTGATTAACTAGTGTAGTGTTGGATAGAAATCCTCCAACCGTGTTTGGAAATTGATAAAGCTAATGAGGCATATCGTTTCATGAGAAGATTTTTTGGTGGCGACAATTTGCATCTATCAAATAAATCGATCGTTGGCTAGCTATATTTGATAAGATACTAAGTCATATGTAATGGTAGCTCTAGATGTATAAGTCATAGACATAATACCATTAAACAGTTGATCTCAATGGTGTAAACTCATGGTACCTTTAAAAGAGATTTACTAAGAGAGATCAAGAAGACTGCATATCGAAGGGAATGTGATTGAAGCCTACTACGTTAGAGTCCTTGTAATGGTAACACTACATTGTTGACTGGAGATCCCAAGATTTTGGTTCAAAGGGATAATTAAGTTATGAGGATTCCACGAAGCACTTAGGAAAATAATTTTCTAACTCATTCCTATGATATTAAAGTGCTTTCTGCAGAGTTGCAAGAGGTTAAGATAATTTTTTAATGATCCCTATATCTTGATTAAGTCAAGTGGAGTAGGGCTGAATACTTTTAATAGGAGGTCACCTATGTGAGTGTGAAGTGTGACCGTTTCAATGAGAATTATTCAAGGCTTAAATTCTCTAAACACTCGTAGAACCAGGAAGGGTTCAGGGCCAAAATGAACCAAGTCATGAGAACTATGAACGGTTTAGGAAAGACATTGTGTGAGTATCGTTGTCTTGGCTTACACTAAAAGCTGAATGGTTCAAGATATCACGTTCACCAATTAGCCTAGTAAGTCCGATGGTATTTCACTAAGGGAGGTTCAAGGCCAGAAGCTACCTTCCCTGATGTAGTGTTTTTTCGCACTCTCTCTACATTGCATCATATCATCGCATTTGCATATGCGTACCCAATTTCCATTCATGTGGGGAATTGTAGGAATTGGTTCAAATAATTAATCAAAAATTGAAAAATGAAAAGGTGTGTAAAAGTGGAAAATGAAAAGGTGTGACTACGTGTCAATTTCGATCAAATATTCGAAATTGATCTGATGGTCAAATTACAAAAGTAAATAGACCATCTTATTCTACTCGTCGAGTAGATCGTCGTGGTATATTTGGAATCTCAAAACCAATTCCGGATGAATGAGAAATTGCGGACCAAATTTGAAAAAAATGAAGTGTTGCAACCTTTCGAAAGGATGTGGGTTTTGGTCGAGTGTTGCAACTTTTTGAAATGATGCATGTTTTGGCCCACACTACTTCATTTGCACCCTTCCTACATCTATAAATAGAACCCTATGGACATAGTTTTGGGTACACCAATTGCATTGAGCATTCATTCTCCTCTTGCAATTCTCTCCTTTATAATTCTATAGCATTTTCATGCATTTCCTTGTAGAGTTCCGTTCGAGTTCGTTGGTCGAAGCCATTTGGAGTGCTCCTATGGTTTGACGTGGTCGTTGTATCTTGGAAGATGATTGTCGAAAAATCGTTAGCACCGATGCGGGACAAATTCATCTTAAGAACCAAGTATTAAACACTTGTCTCGACCAAAAATTTATCACTTGCATCTTTCTTCCTTTATTTTCTGATTTCTCTTAATAATGATTTGATTTCAGAAATTGATTAACATTATTTACATGTTTGTTCTGCGAGGTTTGATTCAAAGAATAACTTGCTTTCGTTCAAGAATCGAAAAAGATGAATTCATATTCGTGTATTCGGATTCGGTAAATATTATTGTTTTGCTTCTCATAATCTAATTTGGTAAGTCGAAATTGCATTTCGATTTCATGCAAATAAATAGTATGCTTTTATGAATATAATACGTACATAATCGGTGTATTCCCCAACACATAATGCCAACGGCTTTGAGAAGAAATTGTAGGAGTAGAACGTGTTACGATATTATTAAGTTATATTTACTAAATTATAGTGTTATTTTTCTCAATGAATTATGTATTAAATTTGAGGTTGCACTTGCACGTTAATGAATGACAAGGGAAGCAACTTCGTCATATGTGAGGGTTATTTTAATGTTTCATTTATTAGTCCCGCACATAAAATATGTAATATTGCTTTATTATCACATGATACGTTCTCCATTGAAAAATCAATCCTACATTATGTTCTACAAAACCTCGTAGACTTTTTGATCAGTGATAAAGTCTCAGTATCTAAATTATAGTTTTTTTTTTTTTTTACTCGAGTCACGAGTAAGTAGTTGAGTTTATTTTTCTACATTTTTAATTGATAATTTTTTATGGTAAATAATCTTTACGCAACGAAATCCCCTACAATGGAACCTAACAATGAGTTTACATAGATTCAAGTAGGGCAAAAAATAAGTTAATCATTGAGCTACATCAAAATAAATTGATGAGTATAGACAACTAGTCGTCGATCACAACTCACTCCACCCTAATTCTTGCCTTGATAGCCTTACCTTCACGAGATTGTTCAAGTAGCTCGTTAGTTTTAGGCAAAAAATTCTCCGAGAACTATTGAAATATCGATCATCTGTGATTCTTACTGAAACTTTGATAACGTCAACAATTGTAGATGACAATTAATTGATGAAGAAATAGTCCATGTATTATTTATCGAGACAAATAAATTATTCCTAACCTAATTTTTTAAATGTATTTCTTGCGTTGTTAGTATTCATAATTTTTTCCTATATATATATATATATCCATGAAATTTTGATTGATAAATTAAATTTAAAAAAATATTATTATTATATTACTAACTGAAAATCCTGTAAATTATCTGTAATTGTTAATTACTAAACTCTTTGAAAGATAATATTGAATATTTTATTTTATTATTTTATTTAAGACATAAATTCTATGTTGAATTAAATTTATTATGCTAGTGTTCTCTTAAAAAAAAATTGTTGTTAATTATTTTTAATTGTATTTTGTTACATATGCACAGTTCGTTTTATTGGTTACATTATGACTTAAACAAAACTTCCACCATCATATAAAATTTTCAATGATATATAAATTATGACGGATTGAAAAATCTAATTAAAAAATTCTATTTTATATTTACTTTAACTTAAAAATTCTGTTAGTAAAACTATTTAGTACATATCATGATAATCTTAATTTTAAAGCATTAGGCAATCATCCCACTTATTTAGAGATTAAATTGGGTCTACTAGCAACTCGATTGACACTCGACTTCAATCATTCTTTAGTTTAAATTTTGATTCAACCCCGCTCAGTTCATAGTTCAAGATTATTTATATTTTAAGATTAAATGCACGAAGATAAATAGACAGTGAATTAGTGACTAAAGATAATCTTATGAGTTAAACCCCACAAAATTGAGTATGTTGATCGTGAGATCGGTTGAAACCTAATGATGTGTTAGAAAAATAGGACAATAAGACATACTAACTCAAATCATTGGACAAAACAAGCCAAGAAGAAAAAAAGAAGGTTAATTCACCATCGTTTGTCATGGGGAAAAAAAAAAAGAAAACGTTAATTCACCATCGTTTGTCATGACGAGAAAAAAGTGGCGTAATAAATCAAACAGAGCTTGAAGTACGTTCCATTGTCCCTGTCCTCTCCTCTCCACTGCTCTATATTTACCATTCTATAAATATACATAAATACACGCGTATATCACTGTAAATTCTATAAAGAATTGGTTTCTGGTATTCGTGAGAAAAACAAGGTTTGGAATTGCCTTCGGATCCGACACCGTCGGACCCACTTTCCCTCCCTCTTTGCTTTGTAATTCATCCTTGTTATTCACGAGAGAGGGACATTTCCGAAGCCTTTTTTCAGGTCCTCCCTCTCTCTCTCTCTCTCTCTCTCTCTCTCTCTCTCTCTCTCTCTCTCTGAACATGCATTTATTGTATGTGTGTTTGTGCAATGTATTTGTGACTATACGCATGAATGATTTCTTTTATCAGATTACATTTTCTCGGTAATTTCTTGTCGTCGGTTGATTTCTGATGTATCAGATTTTAATGGTGATATTAAATTGAATTTTCCCTATTTTTATGCGGAAAGGAATTAGCTTTAGACTATATATTCGATGGTTTCTTTCGAATTGGTTGTCTTCATATTTTTGGGGTATTTTTCTTTATCACATTGCCGGATAATTTATTTATTCCATTTTTTTGTCCCATATGATATATGAATTTGTTTTACATTTTCAATTTATATATCATTTTCGGCCTTTGATTTATACCTTTTTGATAAAGACAACTAGCTTGCTAATTTGATGGGGGACCCAATTTGGATCATTCTTTCTTCTCCAACATTCCGTATCTTTTATTATTGGATTTGGTCTTTGAAGTGAAGATTCCAATGTCATGATCCCCCTTCTTGATTTCTCTTATCAGCATTTTCAGAATATATTTAGAAAAAGGTAAGTAAAAAATTTGCATAAGATATCAATTTCCGCGTCTCATGTTCTATTTTCTAGGCCTCTGTTCGATTTCACCTTTCAATTTTGGTTTTAATGAGATCACATTGATCTGCTTACCTTTGTTTATATTATCAATGCTTTGTTCTGGCAAATGGGATATTGAGTTACTGATTTGTGTGGGAAGCAATTTTACTCGAGATGCTTGAATATGCTTAAGAATTTCATGATTCATAAATGCAGTTTCTTGTTGAAAATCTCAATTATTTGTATTATGCTTTTATGATTGTTTGATTGGAAATAGATGTTAACTTATTAAAATTTGAAAATGAATTGGAACTTGTGGAATGCTAATTTTTAAGCCATTTGAAGTTATATGCCTTAAAGCACACGTCGCTTTGCCATATTATGCATCAGAAAATGTCGGTGAGGCTGACAGGTTGCACGTTGTTGCAGAAATTTAGAAGTCTGACTCATACCAATGGGAGGTTGTGTGTCAACTCCAGCTCTACCAAGAAAACAATCAAAACCACCTAAAGTAAGGAAGAAGCACCATGTCGGTTCGAAAAAGCACCATGGAAAGGTTTTGAATTTGGTTTTACATGGAAATAAAAAAAAGAACAGTGAATCAGGAGGTCGAGTGACAGATTTCGCTGTTAGTGAGTTTGTTCACACAACCACTACCTGTAGAAGATCTGAGGTCTCCAACTCAACATTCCATCTTACTCAGTTGCAGTGGCTCCATAGTGAAATTGATGCTAATGGTAATTGTTATCTTCTTTCTAAAATTGAATCTTCTCTGTGGGAATTACCCGAGTGATTGAGAATTGTAGAATACTTAGCTTGTTTGGTAGAGCTTTTAAGCCAATTAAAATCAAAATTTTGATCGTTATTTCACTATTCCAGCCGTCATTTTTCAATCCTTCTCTCACAAGTGTGACCCACTTTATCTCTAACGGTCAAAAAATCAATTATTAAAATTCCTACCAAACAAGCACTATATAATTGCTCTCCTGGGCAGGAAAACTTGATTCGACTCAAATAAGCGTACACTAACCGTGTTGAATTTCACTTGCGGCTACTGTTTATTACATACTCCTTTGTTTCTTACAAGGGAGAAATGCCATCTCGTGACTTTAAACAAATTTATGCTAATTTTTTTTATTTTTATTTTTGCTCACATGGTCTTAGCTACATTTTTGAGTCATTTGTGTGAGCCAGTGAAGTGTTCATGCGCTTGCAGGAATTTGTCAAGAAGAAGCATGGTTCGATACGGTCAGTATATTAGAGTCTGATTCTGATGATGACTTTAGCAGCGTACATGGAGGTAATAAAACATCAAGCTTCTTCTTCTCTCTCATTTTTTTTTTTTGGGCTAATAACTTTTGGTGCAAATCTGAGATATGACTGTTGTTAGTATAGAGTTGATTCTCTAGTAATTTGAATGGTTGACGATTTAGGTGGTTTGAACATGTTTACGTAGACCTATTAAGTCTTTCATAAGAGCGATGCAATCTCAAGTTGAACAAATCAGAAGAGGAAGAGGAAGAGGTAGACCAAAACTAACGTGGATTGTTGTCAACGTTAGCCTAGTCCAGATATATTGGGTACAAGGCTTAGTTTGTTGTTGCCTGCCTAAAAATGTTTTGAGTTCCTTCGTTATACGTTGAAATATAGATGCATATGGAAGACTTCGTTATATCCAAGTTATTAAAAATAATATGCGATCTCTGTCTTTTTCTTTGATGGATCAATTTGAGTTCTATGGTATATCTGCTATAAGAAGTGAGTTGAATTTTTGATTATTTGCTGCTGAAGCAAATCATTGCATGAAATCCTATCAAGTAGATTGTAAGATTATTGATTATTGTACCAACTTCAACCCCTCAATATAAAGAAAACATTCTATTGTTCGAGTCATCTTACAAGTAAATACTCACGCGTTGCTAATTGGGACATATACTCATTTAGTCACATTATAGATAACACCTTGATGACTGCATTGTGACACTTTTCATCGTTAGATTTCTGGTTAACAGAACTGCTCACAATAACAAAAGTTTGAACCGAGCAGTATTTTTTATTCATTTTGTGCTACTTTTTCTTCTGCAGATTTTTTCCCCAACATTTCGAACGGCCAAGTCCTTCAATATGAAGCTGCATCATGCATTGTGGATGGAAAGTGTAATTTCAAAGAATACCATGAAAAATATCTGAAAATAGATAATTGTAAAACAGACTTGTACTCGAGCAAAGATGGAGTCAAGGAGCCAAATGAACTTCCAGGTTTAGGGAAGGCTGAAGAGTTTGGTACCAAGAGGAAGAACAACTTAAATCGTGCCTATGGAAGCTTTAGTGGCCTAAAAGAGGATAGACGTGATCTTGAGGGGAAAAATCCAGGGAACTTATTGAAGTCTGTCTTACCCCGGTTGGTACCTTCTGTAAGTTTCAACGATAAGGTCATCAATGTATCAAATTCAGGTCCACTAGCTCAGAGAAAGAAATCAACTGTCATTAGGCTTTCTATGAAAAGGAAATCTGTTGAGCGAGATGAAAATGAATTTTGTGAGTATATTCTGGGTTACTTTGTCAAAATTGTGGAATTCCTATACTGTAAGACTGTAATGTTACTCGACATTGAAATAACAATTATGATGCAGGTACTTCAAAAAAGTATCTTTTTCATCCAAGAGCTGGACTTATAATTCCACGTTGTAATGAGGAGAAGCCAACTTCTGGATCTTGGTCTGAGATTGAGCCCTCAACCTTTAAACTGCGTGGAGAAAACTATTTTAAGTATGCTTTTAACACTTATCTGTTGACCATGAAAACTTTTCAATGTATGTGCATACTGCTGTAGTATTGTGAATTGCCTGATAATATAGTATTGCAGAGATAAGAAGAAATTCCCTGCTCCAAATGTAGCTCCTTATACTCCAATTGGTGTTGATTTATTTTTATGCCCAAGAAAGATAAACCACATTTCTCAGCACCTTGAGCTGCCTTCACTGAAAGCAGACAGGAAAATTCCTCCGCTGCTAATTGTTAATATTCAGGTGGTTTTTAAGTAATTTTTAATTTTGGTGGAGATGGTGGCTTATTTCGACACGACGCCTTATCAAATAAAAATTTCTTCATCTTATAATGGCTTATGTGATCCTTTGTATTTGTTTTTCTTGTGATAGTTGCCCACTTATCCGGCTCCCATGTTCCTTGGCGATTCTGACGGGGAAGGCTTGAGCCTTGTACTCTATTTTAAACTTAATGAGAATTATGAGAAAGAAGTGTCTCCTCAGTTTCAGGACAGCATTCAGGTATCAATTTTCTACTTTTAACTTTTTCTTGCTATGATTTCAGTTGGTTATCGATTGATAGAGGAAAGAATGGAAGAAGAGCAATTACATGGGTTATTAACGATTGTTTATGCTGCAGAGACTGATCAATGATGATATGGAAAAGGTTAAAGGATTTGCAAAAGAGTCAATTGTTCCTTTCAGAGAAAGGTTAAAGATTATGGTTGGAGTTGCTAATCCTGAAGATCTTGTCTCCAGTTCTACTGAGAGAAAACTTCTGAATGCTTACAATGAAAAGCCAGTGCTTTCCCGCCCTCAGCACGAATTTTATCAGGTGGGATATCATCTTTGTCGCCCCCAAAAGACTATGTTGGCATGTTTGTTAAGGTGGATTAGATAGTACCGAATTTAGGTTTTTAATAAGAATAAAAGTTAAAATTTTGTATAATGTATAGGTCAGTACAATATTATTTCCTAACATGCACCATGAATAAGTTGTTTTTCTGGTTAATTAACACGCAATTCCTTTTTGTACAGGGCTCAAATTACTTTGAGGTCGATCTTGACATTCATCGCTTCAGCTACATTGCAAGAAAGGGACTTGATGCATTCCGAGATCGTCTAAAAAATGGAATACTGGATCTTGGACTGACAATTCAGGTGTGTAAGAAATAAAAATAAAAAATAAAGAAAATCTTGTCTGTTGTACTATTGGAGTATAGTCTATTGTAATTGAATAATTCTTTGTTTAACAACCAGGCACAAAAGCCCGAAGAACTGCCAGAGAAAGTCCTTGGTTGTGTGAGATTAAATAAGATTGATTTTGTTGATAATGGTCAAATTCCCACGATTGTAAGGAACGACGAGGAATGATAATGACAGAGCGTCGTGGTCTAGGTTTTCTGTCACCTTTCGATGTGTTTTGACGTAAATTCTGAGCAGTCATAGCTTCTACATGTTAGATGAATAATGAGAAATAAGAAGTTACCTTATCCATAATAGTAATATTGTTTCATATTAATCTTGTAACTATGTTAACATCAAAATGTTCAACCTCTGATGTGTATAAAACTCCTTTTGCCTCCTTTGGATGTAATTCTTTCATTGATTCTTGATTTTATCTTATTACGTTAAAAATTTGGAAAATTTGTTTTATGTAATTTTGCCATAATTTCGTGTTTGGATCAGAAAGTCTTGATTGACGATAACTAATAATCATAATTGACCAAAACCTAGATTCCGATAGCATATTTTGGTTCAAGGTAGAGAACTGATTACTAACAATTAGAGAACTTGTAATTGATACTTCTCAGTTTTTGATAAAGAATGATCCAATTATAGTTCAAGAATGATAAGACCAAAGGGCAATGAAGTTAAACGTCCCGAGATCGTCATATATGCCTCAACTCATAATACATGATCAAGCTTTTATGTTTTTCAATCACGTTTGATGATTATTTATCGTGAATTCGTTTGATATATACGTCTTAACTTGGACCTAAAAAAGTAGAGACATGAAAAAGTGACGTTCAAGTCTGTAGTTCCGTAAGACCTCTACATAAATACTTTATCACTTTCAGAAGGACCCATCTTTCAAATTCTACCATAAATCCAATATGCACATGACACTTCGTATTATGAACCAATTAAGTAATGACATCTCGTTGTGAGAAGGCAAAAAAGATTTGAATGATTCAATTTTCAAAGTGTCATGAATTGAATATGAGCTATGCTACAATGATAAAGAGGATTTACAAAATTAGGTTACAAAATCAAATCTATAACAATCATTTCAAAAATAGATTTTTAAATAATTTGAAATCAAGGGTCCAGATTTTGCCAACGCACTTTGACACTCCACTTTTGTACACCAACTTTGTAGGAGGAGAATTATTCATTGAATATACATATCACGGGACCACACGAGGATTTTACTCTTTAGGGATAGAAGTGGCAATAAGAAAAATGAGTGGGGGTAAAATCAGGAACTTGATTTAGGGCTTCCCTAGCAGTGCTTAATATATAAATTTGCAGGAGCAAACAGAAACACAACACCGCCTAAGGCCGAGCGCTTCCCTCGCGAAAGAAGAGGTGGCGTGGTATTCCACGAGAGAGGTTTTTATAAATCGTGGCGCACGTTAGTGCGATGGGCGTACATTAATTCAATTGGGGACTCCATGGCCGCTGTGCTGCTTCAGTTTGCAGCCACAGCGAGGGGATTGCCCTATATTTTCGCAATTTTCCTTTTTATTTATTTATTATAATTATAATTATTATTAATTTTTTCTGTTCTTGTTTTACAAGATTCGTCTTGCTGGAAAAACTATTGGTTTATTTATTTCCTTTTTTTTGTAATTGTATATATTTTTTAGGTTTATCTTTTCTTCTATCCCCAAATAATCATTCCGTAGCTTTTCACTTTGATATAGAATTTTCAATTACGATGAAGGATGAATATAAATTTATTAATCATATCGCGAGATGATTCACTGCATATAATGATTTTGTACTTCAGGATTAAGAAGATATCAGTTGTAGCGTAAAATAGAGATTTAGAATTTCAAAATGGCCGGAAACCTCCCCATGGTCAGATGCGATAGAGATGTAAGTTGCATTTTTTAGTAGTAATGAAAATCTTTTTATTTTCTTTACTTTTTTTAAGAGGCAAAAGGTGAGTTTAGATCTCTGAGGATTTAGATATATGGGAATGTAAATGAGGATGTTGAAAATATTAATATATACTCAATTTTAAAGGAGATGCTCTTATACCCATTATCTATCTTTACATTGGATAAACTATACATGGGAAGGGTGAAAGAAAGCAACCGACACGGATCATTGACTATAGGAATGTGAGAAGTTGCTTCCTCAAAATGTTCATCAGAATCAAAATAAAACAGAGTTTACAATAAAACTTAAAATAATATCATTTTCTTAGCAACTCTAAAAGTTCACATTCCTTCAAAATAAAAAACGAAAAAATAATATGAACGTACAGCAGAGAGTGCAATGGAAAAGTTGGGCGAATGTGAAAATAAATGAGGAAAGACTTATCGGGCAGAAGCATCTCTAGTAACAATTAGAGAAGAAAGAGAAGGCTAATCTTTACATTATGTTGCTGTCATCGGGTCAATCTTTCGGCCAAAATATTTCAAAATGATTCCCGTATTGATAGGAATTGACAATGTACCTACCATTTCTTGCGCGATTCTGATTTTCTCGTACCAAGCCTTTTACGTAGTAATTTGAACGAATCTGTGTCTGGTTTTCGTATAGTTCATTGGTACAACTTTTAACAGTGGGATGAAAAGATCATAGTCCGTGCAGCACTGTGCAATCCGAGGTTGTGCAGGATCGTGCATTCCTGGTAGTGTTTAATACAAGTCTGCGGAAAAACAATCGTTTTATTCATTTTTATAACTGATTTTGTCACTTTGCCAAAAGAAAATTAACAAATGCAGTGATCCGAGTTGGCAACAGATGATTTGATGAAATTGTATTTAAAATAGCCATGGAAAGTCATGTGACTTTATGTCAAAGATTATATTAAGACATGTGGATATCAGACAATTGTGCCAAACATGCTGTTAGTTTCTTTATTACCTCGAGAAAAGCGGGACCTACGAACATCATGACGAGGTTGGCCATTCATACTTGCCTCCGCTCTTTGAGACGGATATAACAGTGGCCCTGAGAATCCACCCCTCCCTTTCAACTTATTTTGATGCTGTTGAAAAATTCAGAGAGATACTGAATTCAGCATCAATATTAAAATCTCATGAATCTTGACGTGGTATCTAACCACATCGAAGAAAATGTGGCTTACCATTGATAATTCTTGAGGTTCGTATGCATCGGGTGGATCAAAAGAATCCTGTTGATGGAGCAGGATTTCTTGTTGTTTGAACGTCACATGTTTGGCGTTCTCAGCAGGTCGTCGAGTGTCAGATTGGACCTTGCTGGGAACATCGTCGAACTCTTGGACTACAGCGTCCAAAGTATCTTGTGGATGCATTACTCTGGATAGGTCTAATGTACCTAAATTTGTACCCAAATTGTGACTTCTTGAAGTACGATAACCTAATCTTGTCATTCCGGCTTCCTGTTTTCGCTTTTTTGCCCATGCAAAGCCGCTAGACGCTGTGATTTGCACGGGGACTGTTTTAACGCTATCTGCTTGAGATTCCTCTGTCATTTGAGAAGCTTCTGACACTGTATCATAATATTCCTTGGCTGACATCCGAGACACAGTAGCTCGTCCTCCCTTGTACAGATGGGAACCTCCTCCATGGTGTCTTCGACCAACTTGAATATTTGCCTCTACGACCTTTATAGAAACAAGCCAGAATGGTCAGTGAGAATGAGAAAATATGTACTCTGCTTGGAGGGAAAAATGATATACGAGTATATATAGAGTGGGAGGGAGAGAGAACCTCAGATGGAATTACTGTGCCAAAACTAGTTGGATCTTGATGAGTTTTACGCACTCTTCTTGGATATTTCATAGACACGGCAGTGACCTTCCTCCTGAAAATTCAATTCAGATGGTATCAATGTGCCGGAATTAGTTGGTTCTAACACATTGCTAGCAATTTTGGAAATACTGATAAACTCAATCAAATTGGTATCTTTCTGGAAAGAATATATGAAAGAAAGGAAGAACTAGACACTTCACCTTCGCACTTCTTCACGGAATTTAGCATCAATCTCTTTGTTTGGTGGATATTTTGGCAAGCTCGATGGATCACATGCGTAAGGCTTGGGATGGAAATACTGAAAAAAAAAAAGAAAGGAAAAGTTCAGACAAAGACCGATTCAATATGAACATTCTATATAAGCAAAAAGCCCGATTTAATCAAGTTTTTAACGGACTAGACAAAAGTTGAATTGATGAGATCTGAATAGAAATCCCAGGTCAATCAAATATTTCCATCGTCTTTTACCTCAGATTCAAGAGCAGAAGAAGCAGTACCACGACTGTAAGGTTCAATGGAAAGAAATTTTTCTATGAGGTTTACTGCACTTTTCGGGAATTCCTTGCATCTTTCTCGAAGTGTACTTTCATAAGGTTGCTGGGGTTTAAACATGGTGGCAAGAGGAAGTTTTGATCTTTTCCAATAATCATCAGGTGGAGAACCACAAAGTTTGAAGATTTTGTGCAATTGTTCAACCTACATAGACAAGGAGAAAATGAATTTTAACTGAGAGTTGAGATTTGGGAAGTACATGGGCAACGATCATTAAATCCATAATATCTATGCAAAATCTCGACATTCAGTGAAAGAAAATCCAATTAAATTATTCATATAAGAGAAAAATACGACACCACGTTTATAGATTTTGAAAAATGTTCTAACCTCTGTTCTGCCTTTGAGAAGAGGCCTTCCAATAAAAAGCTCAGCAAAAACACAACCAACACTCCATACATCCACTGATTCCCCATAATTTGTTGACCCTAACAGGAGTTCAGGGGGGCGATACCACAAAGTCACCACACGACTGGTCAACGGTTGCTTATTCTTTGCTCTCATAAAATTTGCTAGCCCAAAATCTGCTATTTTCAAACATCCTTCATTGTTTACTAAAATATTTGATGCTTTAATATCCCTGTGCATTATACCTCGCAAGTGACAATGCTCTAATCCGCACAGTAGTTGCCGCATATAGCACTTGATCTACTTTCATAAGAAAAAATGAATTCAGAAAATAGCATCATGAACCACGAGAAAAATTGAAAAACTATGACGCTTACTATTCTGAAAAACCACAAATAAAGAAAAGAAAAGAAACATAGATACAAACCTGTGAATCACTGAATTTGATATCAGGACATGATAACAGCCCAGAGAGGTCGTGTTCCATGTATTCGAAAACAAGATATATGTTACATGATAATCGAGAAGTGATTATGCCTTCCAGCTTCATGATATTTGGATGGTCAAGTTTGCGTAGAATCGTTATTTCTCTTGCCATAAATCTTACGCTTTCTGGTTGAAAATTGTCAAACCGTACCTTCTTCAGGGCAACCATCTTACCAGTTTTCACATCCCGTGCACGGTAAACATTGCTGTAAGTGCCTTGTCCAATCTACATATGTTGAAGACATAGAAATTAATTTATGAGACAATGAATACTACAGAGAGCCACACCTAGTGGTTTCATCAATCAGCTCAAAACTCAGTATAAACAGAAAGCTCTCGTGGTATGTTTGGTTGGAAGGATTTCATGGCATTCGACACTACTAAGGAAGAAAAGGACGCTAATAGTAGTGCATACAACCACTCGTGGTACTATTTGACCATACTTATTCTCTCATTCTAATGTCATCAAAACTGAACATTGTCATCATAAAGTCACCAGATGAAAATCAACCCTGCCAAGGAATACTCGAGTTAGTTCTACGTCTTCAGTTACAGACCTCAATGCTGTATCTTCCCTGACACTTCTATTATTTCAAAAAAGTTTGTAGCAAAAAGGTAACGCCCGCAAGTTCACTGAGAATCCTGATCAAAACCATACTGAGATCATGACTCTCAAAGGAACCCATACACGTTTGTACCAATTCACAGTTGGCAAAAGAATCAAGCAAAGGTTAAAACTATGATTATTTTTAAATATGCCAGCGAGAACTTGTACTCAAATTGAAACTTTGAGCCAATCGATGCATATTAATTTAGATATATCGCAATGCACTAGCAACAAGAATTAAAATGATGTAAATGACCTTGTCTAATTTCTCGAATGCATCTGATCTGAGAGGTAGCCATCCCTCAATGGCTTCCCCAGCCACGGCAGAGAGCCAAGGCGGCCACCCAGCCGATACATGCTCGCTTTCTGTCAACCTCCCAAATTTAAAGCTGAAAACAGCCTTCTTCTGGGAGGCCCCTCTCTTTAAAGCCCTCAAGTTCCCGGAATATTCCACATCACTGCGCCTTTTCTTCACAGATTCCCCCTCCTTCTCTTCCTCAGGTTCCTCCTTAATCTTCTCCAAAGGCAGCCCGAATGCACGCAATGAAGATAACGTAGGAAGACGGTGGCCCGAACCATTTCTTCGGCCCGCTGCAGTTGAGGCAGAGGAGGAGGCATCGAGTTTAGATGATTCTATTGTAGCGTTCTTGGAGCTAACGCAACCCATGACCCCCAATACCCATCAAATGTCTCCTATACCGTAAGGATTCGGATACGACCCAGATGGGAAATGGGTCACAGACTGGACGAGGGTTGGGATCAATAATGTGAAAAACCCCTACATTAACACCACTAACGTTGTTTTGAAAGAAAATTTACCCAGCAGAAATGAGAATGTTCCTCAAGAACAGAACTTTTTGGGGGTGGCAAAAGAGAAAGAGAGAGAAATGAGACATTTGAGTATTTCTTGTTGCGAGATATACGGAAATCACAGGAATTTCAAGGGGGTAAACATTTCCATTTTCGTGGGGTCCGTCCACTGCTTATTTCTTTCTCTCTTCAATAACAAAGGTGGGATGTGACCGTTGGAACTTCAATTTCAATTTCCGCTGGTTTTGTGGGGCTTTTTTGGTGTTTGCATTACAAATTATTGACCAACTGCCGTTACTGCCCCAACTGCTAGTCCAAACTTCGTATTGAAGTTTTTTATAACCCAAATTTTCTATTTTTTTTCCAGCCTAAAAAGGCAAAAAGTGCCACGCGCGCACGTGCGCGCGTGCGCACACGCACACGCACACACATATATCAGAGCCAATTAAACTCTAACAAGCAACTCAATTTGATTAAGACTCAAACAAATAGGCACACGAATTTTAAGATTGATCTATTCAAAGGAGTCATCATCTTTGAAGGCATGTTCGAATGAGAAAACAAGTAATCTACGAAGACAGGGATGATGACGACGACTAAGCCATTGACATTATTAGGACAATTTGCTATGATCCCAAGAAGTTAATTGATGATGCAGATGACATAAATGTGGGGGCAACTTACTCAGATACTCATAAGAAAGATACTCGAGGAGGGCGCCAAGATTGCTACATAAAAAAATCGTGGAACAAGAAAAGAGGAGACAAAGAAATGCAAGATGTATTGAGTATTATAATTGTTGTACCCATGTAGTATATTTTGTTATGATAAAATAATCATTTATAATAAATAAATTGTGTTTTTATTTATTTATTGCATTATTTTTTATTGAGCATTCAAATTAAATTATCTATAATCATTTGAGATAATATAAGTTGGGTATTTACGTTAAAAAGTATAGTGCGACACAATTTATATTTTGATCATAAATAATTTGTTCACAACCACTGTATAAGGGTTGACACCTTGTACTGGAAGATTGTAGTGTTGACCGATTCACTATTTAGGTTTGTGATTTGTTCTTATCACAGAAATAGTTAAGAGTGACACTAGTACACTGAGAATGTATTAAACGAACTGCGTGTCGAATTTAATTTTATAGCAAGATCGTGCGAAGAATTAAATTTTACTAAATCGTTGTATATTTCATCTAAATCTCTTGATAAAATCATGTATATTTTTTGTGTTGAGTAATCAATGGGTGAGATCAATTTGATTGGTCAAACATCTCGATGAGTTAGGAATTTGAGAAAGAGAGGAGTAGACAACATGAATTCATGTCCGAAACTGTCACCCTGAAAAATGGGTAGAGTAACTACTTAAATATTTTCTGTTAAATGATTAAAATTTGAGCTTAGTGTTTAGCGATGACTAAATTTTGACATCTGTGATTAGTTCACAAGACCATTGAAGAAAATGAAATTTAAGTTAGTGAAAATAATTAGAGGAGGCAAAACAGTCATTTATGCTTGTTCCTAATTATCGGATCTCAGACGGTGATAAAAATACATATATGATAGGTCAGAGGAAAGTATTACAAATTTATTGACTTATGTAATCTTACATATTCCGAGAGTTTAGTCTTTTACCTTAAGTAGAAAAAGTGAAGACTAATGATTAGATTGTGTGATCTAGAGTTGATTAGATATGATCTAATAATTGGAGTTTGGATAATATATGTCCGATTAGGTCCCTATGCTAGCTTCATGAAGTACTGAAACTTAATTACGGTCTTATAATAGTTCCGAGCTTAATTATAATTATTACGAAATTTTATACTTAGTTGTAATTACTATGAAAGCTGTAAACTTAATTATAATTGTAATTGAAATTATAGGACTACACATGTAATTAAATGTAAACTAATTAGATTTGGATTTTAATTAAAACTTCTATTTGAATGTGGAATTATTATTATATAAGGATTGTAACTCTTCTATCTTTATAAATATAGATTCGATAGATTCTAGACATTCTATGGAATTGTACAACATTCATAATATATAATTTCATGGTATTCAAATTTTGGAGAGAAAATTATTTTTCTTGATTTTTTCAATTGTCCAATTCAAGAAATAGTTTTTTGATTTAATTAAAAGAAAGTACCCACCAACGGGTATAGATTTGACTTTGGACAATATCATAGAAGACTTGAAAGTTTGAAGTATCAAGTTCTTGAAATTAAAAGGCTGAAAGTTTGTGATTTAAAAGGCTGGAAGCTCGTGATTCATAATTTATTCAAGAATTGATAATCGAGTTTTGGTAAAATTTCGAATTCTTTATTTTTGATATAACATACAAATGAACATTTAGATGATCTTGTTTATTAAATTAAAGAAACTTTTAACTTTTGGATAATTCTGTTTCCGCATTCCAACAATAATATTCTTGTTTCCTTTTAGTACTTGGCAACATTGTGCTTGCTTAGTTTAGCTTACTGATGTAATTTTAATTGACAATTTTTTTAAAGAAATATAGACATGACTTTGTTTCGTTAACATCAATTTTGAGTCCAGCTACATAATTCTATTGTCAATATGAAGACTGCTTAAAGTAAATATTTAAGTTTTTTGCCAATTTTATAAATAAAGAATCACTAGAATTTATCTGTTCCAATTCAAATTGTCCATCAGAAAATGTTCACAAATTGTAAAGAATAATCGGAATTTAATCAGTTTCGATTCAAATTGACCATTAGACAATGTTTGATCTGTTCTCCGTTCTATCCTCCCCAAACATGCTATCAAGCTCACGTAGAAAATTCGCAAAGAACATCTGCCTGTCGGGATTGCATGATTATGCTTGCCCTCGCATGTCGTTATAACTGATTTGAAGTTGGTTGAAGACCTCTCAACGTCTTTAGGGACGTTGCTTTCAGCATGTGTACCTTTGTAATAACTTTTATAGAGAGAATTCAAATGCAATATTGATTATCTTCACCAAAGAAGTACAAGGAGAGCTTATAATCTATTAGTCTAAATTACAAACTAATAGATATCGAAAAGTTAAGATGAGTTGGTAGATTGCAAATTCTTTTAATTAGTCTTGGCAATAGCATGGATCATTATGATGGTTAGTATAAAATCAAACTGGTCTCACTTTTCTAAAATCAACTTATCGTTACATCACGTCATAAATGTCAATTTTATGCCTAAATGGAGAGAATTTGTTCACAAGTAGGGAGAGAAAACACTCATGAATTTTCTCATTGATTTTGTAAGCACATACAATCATTTATATACAATTCTATATGTACAATAATTGCCAGATGTGTAGATGACAGCTCATCAGCTCTAACAACCTTCAACTAACTTAACTAACTTTTGGCTAAGTACATAAATACCTTCAATGCTACATGACTCGCAAGGCTCCCCCTCAAGACAGCTGGTGAATGTTCAAGACACCCATCTTGCTAAACAACATTCGAAACCTGGTTCCTCCTAAAGCCTTTGTCAACAAGTTTGTCAGTTAGTTTGTTGTGGATAAATGCATGGGTTTTATGCCGCCTGATTGCACCTACTCCCTCACCAAGTGACAATCCAGTTCTATGTATTTTGCCCTTTCGTGGAAGACGGGGTTGCTTGCTATGTTTATTGCCTCTTGAATATCACCGAATAAAAGGGCAACCTTAGGATGATCTATCCCAAATTTGTTAACACCTTTTTTAGCAAAATTACTTCACAAACAACTGCAGCCATGGCCCTGTACTCCGCTTCAGTTGATGACGTGGAGGTGGCATGCTGTTTCTTTAAGTGCCAAGATTGATATGACCCAGGAGTTGAGCCCGACGAAGGCAAGTGCGAGATGAGACCTGTTGATAATTGATGACGGACCGATGATGCAATCAAGGGCAAAGCAAGTGAAACAAGCGATGAGATTACTCGTTCAAGAAACCATTGATGGAACCATGTTCGGGACTTAAAATGGAGCAACTTTCATGTTCGGGTCGAAGGTCGAATCAACTTGGATCAATTTAATAACGAAGGCCGAAACCGGAGAGAAGTTCCAAGCCTGTGCGGTCGCATAGGCCAAAGTGGCTAGCGATCGCATGGAAGCTTGCCGAAACTCAAAGGAGGCAACTTGCTTGAACTATGCGACCGCATAGAAATGAGTGTCGCGGTCTTATAGGCCAAATTTTTGGCGAATTTTCTATTTTTGGTATTTTTCCATAGTTTGTTAGTTTTTGATTCTTTTCCATATTTTGGAGATTATGCTCGACTTTTACACAATTTTTACCTAATTTTTAGGTTTAGTATAAATAGGAATTTTCATTCAATTGTAAAAAAACTTTTGACATATTTGATATTGAATTAAAGTGAGGCGTATTGTCTTCTCTTCATCGTTCTTCATTGAACAATTTCGAACTTATCAAGTATTAACTTGTGGCGATCAAACAACCGGATTCAATTCTTGGATTGCGTGATCAAGGGGTCTTTCAAATATCGTTCTTGTTGGGTTTTTTTGGTTCGACTTTCTTTTGGATTAATCCTAAACTCTTGGATTAATTTGGCTTTCTTGGGTTCGTCAATCTCGTTGTGGGTTTCGTAGTCAACGTTGCTACGGGGTTCGCATCAATTGGTATCAGAGCTAGGCTCCAAATTAATAAAAGGTTATATCTTTTCGTTACTTGTTAAGCCTTTTCTTGTTTTTCTTCATTTTTTCCAATTTCTATTATCGTTCCTCGTGCCATTAAGTCTTTCTATTTCTTCTTCGCCATTCTTGTGTTCTTCGTCATTTGAATCATTCTTGTGTCGTTAAATTATTGTCAATTTCAATTCATTGAGTTGTTGGTAGTTAATTGTATTTCCTTACAAAAGGTCAAAAAAAAGTAAAAAAAAAAAGGTAAAAAAAAGTACTGTTCATCCGTACAGTACATAAAAAAATTTGATATTATTATTTCTTTTTTTTTTTACTACCAACACAAAAATAACTCTCGAATTGTGTGGTTTGGACTATTCCATTGTGTTAATTCTTCACTTTACTATTGAGTCTATTCATATATTCTTGTCAAAACAATCATCTATTCCACCTAATTCAATTCCTTGAGTCTCGTGGTTCTTGGTTATTATTCGGTTTGT